CCCCTTTCACTCCTCCCCCAAACTATTTAAAATCAATGCTATTTATTCTGTTTTGCCAAAGAAACAGAAATATAACAGCACATTAGGGTTGTAAGTAAGCACTGAGCTAGTAATAATCAATCCTTTAAGATGTCAGAAGTGTCATTGTCTTGGGTTTACACAAAATATGATCCATAAAAGCTTGTTTGGATATTGAGTTGTCTGTTTGATGAACTGCATGTTGCCCAGAACTCCAAGCATCTCCCATCCTCCCGTCTGCCTTGAGCAGAACCAAGCCCATCAGGAGCCACTCCACACGAGTGTTTGCTGTGAGCATGTAGGCTCTCTCCACAGACACTGCTTCAGGCAGTCCTGTCACCCCTCTTGCAATAAAGACATTCACTCTGTCCTGTCTTAGTACGAGAGATGCCTTCCTTCAAAGGTACCGTCTTTGCCTAAGGAGTCAGTTGTGGTAAAAGCTCAAGTGGCCTGGGAGATTTAAGACAGAAAGTACAGGAAATTGATCTAAGAAATCTGCAGATGATGTGTTGTTTGCATTGCAATGTTTAAATCTTCTGCTTTCTAAAATGAATAATTCATGTATCCAACAATTTTGTTCTAGTCTGAATGAATTGTAAAAGATGAAATTGTGGTAAAGATTACTCAAAATTTCCTAAACAACCTAAGCAACAATTTTTCCTAAAAGGTTCTTGTGTTAAAAATATTATGACATATTTTCAAGGCTTTGGTTAGAGACATTAATGCTTCTTGAATGTTTTCTTGAGGCTGCAGAAGTTATGGTGACAGAAAGGTATTCTTAGACATCCCAGCTGGAGTAGCAGGAGCAGAAGTCACTCCAATACGATGCCCTTTTTAAATCTCTGGGCAGCCTTCTGACTCCTTCATATGTGTGTGACAGCAGAATGGAAAAAGGCTTCCTTTTACTATTATCTGTGGCTGTTATGATTTATTTTGAATTCTGTATTAGTGTTCATCAACTGGTTTAAGAAGTTTCTGTTTATGACAAGGCTCTGCCCTCCATTCAGAGTCCTGCAGGAAGGCTCTGTGCTCTTGTGGGTTTCCTAACCACAGGCAATAGAGTGAGGCAGTCAGCATTCCCTGGATTATGCCGACATGAGCTCCCTGGTGCTTCCCTTTGGCTTTCCACCCCCTCTCCCATTATCCATCTCGATGTTCTTGGCTTCAGCATTAGGGTGCCTCAGTTCCTGCACTGATAATGGGGAGCTGCTTTCCTAGCGAGAGCAACCACTGATGAAATGGGCACATATGGGAACGACTGTGCACAGCCTGCCAGAGCCTCTGCTCTCATGCCTGATCACACAGGCCTTGGCCAGAGCCTGCAGAAGGCAGCAGCACTTCACCTGTGATTAATAAGCACTAGAGGCCATGGTGCTGTCAGGGCATCCTTGTCTGGGTTTTCACATGGATCACTCCATGGAAGGGCAGGTGCCCTGCCCCAAGCCAGCTGTCTCTGTCCTGTGGTCAGAAAACTGTGTGCCTGTCTGTCTCAAGAGAAAAGGGAGTAAAGGCTGAAGTGGGTGCAAACAGGAAAACAAAGTATCTGTCCTTTAACTCAGAGCTCATTTTTTGTTGTCTTTTACCTGATCGTGTAGAAAACTGGGCACAGAACTGAGTTTGCAAGCCAGATAACAAAGGATTTTCTGTAAACTAACAAGGTTAATTTTCAGAGCACTTTCTAATTCTGAAGTATGGGGAATTCAGTCTCGCACAATGCCATGAAGGGAGTCTTATTTTGTTATGTAGGCTTATAAATCAGTCCAGCCATAAACAAAGAAATTAAATGTTAGGAATTATCCCTGACCTAGAAACCTGATCCTTCACCTTAAATCCTTTACTTACCCCGTGGACCACACCTGTTTCTCTTTGCCTTCCAATAAACACAGGTATAACAAATTATTCACTGCAGCTGCACAGCAGTTATCACTGCTGATGTTTCTATTACATGGGAGTACATGACTTTATACTTCACATTTAATTAAATGTTTTTATGGTTTTATTATGAGGTGATTAATCTGTCAGAAAACAACCTGAAATTGTATATGAAATCTTGGCAATATATTAGCTTTGCTCAAGGACTATTTGCATTTTATTTATAGCCTTTAATTTTATAAGTAATAACTATCTTCTTTAACAGTGAATTCATTTGGGACAGAGTTGTGTTATCAGATACACTATTAACTTCTTTTCACCTACTGTTTACTGTCTTCATTTCTTTCTCACAATGACGATAAGCAGTTTCTCTGTTTAAGCAGCTAGACTAATTATTTTCAGCTGCACATTAGATTGGTTTAATTCTTCCCAAATGGCCCAAAATTTACCAGAAATACATTCTGTACTATCTCTCCTATTTGTTTCATTATGCTTCACAAGTGCTGGTTTTAAATCTGGAGAGCAATTCCTTTTCTTCTCGCCACTTGTGTGAAGGCAAGTGCTAGTTTTTTGTTGTCTAGAACTTTAACTAGTGAGAGACTAAATGAGAGATTTAATCCCCTGGGTTGTGGATCCTTCATCTTGTTCAGACACAGAATTCACTACTATTGTGCTCTCAAATATTTAACCATATCAACAAGTAATGGGAAATTTTATGTTAAAGTGGGCCAAATTTAGCTTTGAACTAACTAATCTAGGAGAAAAGGTTGTGTTATACCTGAGCTGACCTTATTACTTTGTCATTAATCTGCTTTGTTATGCCTGAAGAAGCATGGGGGTCTCAGAACTGCTGGTAATCTTCTCTGCCATATGTGTGGTAATATCTGAACACAGCAGGATGAATTAAGACTAGTCCCATCTTTGCTTTATTACTTGTAAATCAGCCCATTAATATTATCTGAATGCAGTTTGTTAGGATTAACATAGATGATATTTGAATTGCCACAGTGATTACTTCTTAAAAACTCTGCTAATATGAATTTTGAAACTTAGAAATAAATTAGTATTGGAAGTCAAAAAACCCTTCAAATGAAGCAAAAGGAAGACTAAATAATTATATCAATAGGAAGAAACAACCCGAAGGCAGTAATATGGAAAATATCTTTTGCTGTAGTATATTTCAATCCCAAAAGACAATCCCAAGTATTCACTTGGGGGTTAGAGCACTTCTCAGTGAGGCAGCAGAGCAAATAAATCACTGCTCAGTTTGAATTAGTATAGTAAATTAATATTATGCTGCCTCTCCCTATTTTTTTAATAAACATGTGTTTTGTCTGATTTACAAAGAAAACATTTTACAGTACTCGCCACCATGCTCTGATCTGGTTTATCCCCTGCATCTGTTTCCTACTGTGGGTTTTCAGTCAGCTGCTTTTGAATTTGAGAGATGATTAAATTTTTCTGATTTTTACAGCTTCTTTTTTAGAAGAAATCCTGTGACTGTCATAAAAGATCATGAGCAAAGATGACCCAGGGTGAGCAGTGATTGCCCATGGGCACAGACAGAGTCATAAAAAGATGCCTCCTCTGCAAAAGCAGCAACTTCTTTCTCTTGTAAAGATAGGCCAAAGAAGCTATATACAAACAATATGTCTGTAATGTGATGAAAACTAAACAGAAAACTCCATCTGTTACATCATTAGAGCGACTTCATAGCATTAACATTTTTATTTGCCGAGGCCTGCCAAAATTTTTGGGTTTATTGAGCATTGCATGTAAAAGTTTCTCAAACTTTTTCCCTGTCATTGATCTTGTTACATTAATAAAAAGCAGCGCTTTGGCACTGTGCAGGTTGATGGCTCTCTTTGCTTTTTTAATTGTGTCCTTGTTCACAGGAACAGGGCACGCTGTGAGAGCCCAGTGCTGAGGAGGTGGAGAGGAGGGGAACTGCAGGGAAGAACCCTGTGACAGCCACCCTGCCCTGCAGAGGGAGGGCACTCCTGCTGCCCTGCCTGCCCAGCCTTGCTGGCCATGGGCTTCATGTCCCAGTGCCTCCGATTTTTATTTTTTTTTTTATACCTGTAGAGATTTTCTTAGAATTCAGACGGGATAGAAAAAGTGTGAAAGTAAAAAAGGGCACAAAAATAGATGATCCTTTTTGCAGAGGGTCTTGCCTCATAGAAAAGGCCCTGCCCTTCCACAGCCAGTGCAGCAGGCATCAACAGACAGGAAAGCATCTTGTTATTAACTCCTGCAGTGCTGCACCCTGAGAGCAAAAGCTGTGAGAAATTTTGTTTCAGAACAGAGCCATACTGTACCTTCACATTTTATTTTGTTTGCTTTTTGTGTTAAAAATAGCAATCTCCCAGTTGGAAAGCTACCAATGTCATGGTACTTGCAATCAGATCTTAGCATTTGTTTTATGTTCTTCCTAAAGATGGCAGTTTGTTATAGCAGCATGTTATATCACACCTTATCTTGGGGTGATTTGGGGATATGCATATAGGAATAAGTGTTCAAACAGCTTGTTATCTTTTGGACCAGTGCATGAAGAATGCAGTTGCTGTTAATCTCTGCAAGTATTAATCCAGCCTTATCCAGTTTAGTTTGTAATATCCAAAAGCAGCACAGAAAATATAGCAAGATACACTAAAAGAGCTTTGTATTCACATTGATGTAAGGTAATATTTATTTTAATGTACTCATGGATTATTAGAACCATGCATTTGCTATCATGTCATCCTATAATATGTCAGAGAAAAAATGCTTCCAAGAGCAAGATGGCAGATTGTCAACTACTGATGATGGTATTTCAGAGATGTAGCATTTTTATGGATAGAATTGCAAAAGAACAGCATTTATTGCCCATGGCAAGGGGCTCTGTTAGGTATTGACAGCATAGTAAGTTAAATGGAAATTCTTGGCTCTTACTAGAAACAGGAACATTAAGTTTAAAATCACCCATTAGCAAGACTCCTGTTACAAGTAGGCTCTGGGCAGAGGGTTACATTGATTGTTGTTCAGGACTATAAATTAAAAGAACACCAAGAAGATGATTTGGCTATTAAATACTAAATAGAAAGTGTTACTCTGTTTCACTTACCCTGCAGTGGGGCCTGCAGCTGGATCTGTGGTAGGAAAGGCCAGTGTACTCAGCTGAAGAAAAGGCTCAGGCCAAGCTCAGAGCAGCCAAACCCGACCTGAAGAGGAGCTACAAAGACAGCAGGGTCAGGCTGTTTGTTGTGGTGGCAAGTGGTGTAACAAGGGCAGCTTGGGAGGTTTTGGGTCTATTTTCTGCCTTTTACATAAGTGTTCACCAAAAAATAAGAAATACAACTCAGACATAACCTCTTTGTATCAAAAAACCAAGACATAAATTCTTTCAACTGCTGTAAACCAGCACTTTTTATGCAAACTTTTTGCTGGTGTTATGAAAATATTACAGTCACACATGCTGGGTTTTCAAGTGGGACCAATATCGCTGTCAAGATATTGACAATCTGTTGTTTGAGGTGGACTGTCTCCTGACAGAGGTACAGACATAGCAGCTTGGAGCAATGCAGAGAAAATTTATTTTTAAAAAAATCAGACAGGAGGTTGCATAAGAAAGTGTCATTGCTTGCATTGATGTCAGTCTTCTATAAACCAGAAATTAAGATTTTTATAGTACTTTCTATAGTAAGAGAGATTCTGTCTGTTCCTTTTATCATTTGCTTGATGATTACAAGAGCATCTTATCTGTTATAACAATTTTTTGAGACATTTGGTGTGTTTTCCCCACTGGAAGTATCTACAAAACTTAAAATAGATATAGGTATTAATCTTGAAGTGCAGAGTGCCTGCAGCTTTCAGATTTGTCACTCCCTATGACAGTTGCCAGACCTATGTGTGCAATTTATTGCTTTTGCATTGTTGGATGGATCCACAGAGCTTAGACTTAAATCCAGGATTCACAGGTCCACCATTTCATTCTTCTTGTGCTCAATTCTGTGCTGTGGTGCTCACATTTTAGAAGTTATTCTTGATATATATGGTACATTTTACTCTACATGCTGCTGTCATTTATGAGCACAAAATAATCTTACATAATCTCAAATGAACCAGTTGAAGTTAATAAAAGACAGCAAAACACAAGAAAACTGAATAATAGGAATTTGAGGGATTCTTATGGACCTTTTTTTTCCATCCAGCACCTTGTCCTCTGTTTTCACATGACTTTGCCGCATTGAGACTAATAAGCAGAACCTGTCTTACTGCCTCCTTCATAATATAATTAAATATATTTTTCTGAGTTTATGTGCCAGTCCCCCTAGCTCAGAGCAGACCCTTCCAGGTCAAGTTCTTGGTGCTACACACCCCCCAGTTCTGCCTGTCCCCAAGAATGGAGATTCTTCAGGAAGTCCCTTCCACCATTTGACATCTGTCATGGTAAAGATTTATTTTCCTAGTACCTGAAGAGGATTCATCTGCTGTCAGTTGTGTCCATTGCTGGTTGTTCTATCATCCAGCACCTGTGAGGAGTCTGGTTCCATCTCTCCTGCACCCTCCCCTGGGGAGCTGCAGCCAATGGTAGGGTCCTCCCAGAGTCTTCTCTTCTTTGAGCTGAACAAACCCAATTTTCAGCCTCTCCTGCCTCATCCCATTTTCCAGCCCCTCACCATCTCTCCACTGGACTCTCACTGGCATGCAGCCATCAGCTCTAATTGAGTGTAAAATCATGAGTGTGGATAACATAGGTTCTTTCTGAGCTGAGCAACTTTTCTAAGGGAAAGGACCCAAAGGTTGTTCAGGAAACAACCAAAGCCTTGCTGTGGGCTGGAGGTAAGATATCTTTACCCAAATCCTCTACATAAGAAAATGCAGAGCATCAGTGCCAATGTCCTAACTGAAATCCTATCTGAAGCATGTTGTGTAGTAAAATATTCATATTTGGTGGGAAAAAAAGAAATAAAAATCCCCAAGCAGTCTTCCTCATCATTGTTTGGTTCCATGAAACAGGCTCATCACTTGCAAAATAAATTGTCCTGCATTCATTTCATGACCAAAGACAAATATAAGGGTAAAGCATCATATGTTTTTTTCATTCACTCCACTCTTATCCCAACAGAATTCTGCACTTGGAACTTGGCAGACAAATGTCGATTATTCTGCTTGCCCTCTTATGGCACCATTTAAATCACTGATGTCTTGGTCCAGAAGCTTTTATGCAAGTTGTTCCTCAGAACACAAGAATGCCAATTTAGGCAGCTGAGCGTGGGGTGCCCTAGGCTGACCCCAGCTGCCACTGCAGCTGAGCATGCGTTGGCCAGTTCTGCTTGTATCTGCCAGTCCTGGGCAGGGCCTTGCTGAGTCACAATCCCAGGCTCAGAGTACATTTGTCTTCAGCTCTCAAAAGGTTAATTTACTGAAAGCTTGAACTGGAAGCATTTGCTAATGTGTAGCCATTACAGCATGTCTGCTCTAAAATACAAGGGGAAAAAAAAACAACCCAAAGAGAATTGAAAAGCCACAATTGTGTCAATCACAGTGTAAAAAAGTAAAAATAAGGTCAGTAATTTGAGTAACTGAACTGCCTAAAACAAAGGACAGTAAAGAGAAAAGTAAGCCGATAAATCTTCTGATATTTGGGTTATTCTGCATAAAAATCCCAATGTAACAAGGGCATTATCTTCTATAAATGGTATAACACATATCCACACTTGTATGCCTTGTTAAGAAAAACACTTCTATGATATTTATATATGAACTCATAATATATTATGTATTTTGTGCTTGCCCATTAGAAGAGACCCAAAGTCATTAAAAGAAATTTGCATCTCTGTCTCATTAGTTGACCTAATTCTAGGCGGAAACTTTTGGGGTTATGCACCAAACTTTTGGTCTCAAGTCCCACCAACCTCCCACTGAAACAACTACTGAAAATGCCAAAAGAAAACCCAACCAAACAAGATAATGATGTGCTATGTTCTATTTAGCCTGAATACCTCCTGGTGAGGTGAATATAAATATGTTCCTCCCACCTCTTCTTTTGTCTGTACCCTGAGGTTCTTTTGAAGAGCAATTTTCTCTCCACAGTAAGATAGTGAGGATGAAGTTAAGATTTGTGTTCAAGGCATCCACAGCTCTCAAGTAGCAAGATTGAAGTATTGATGGTTCAAAAGCCTCTTCTCAATATACAATTTTCAAATTTAGATTTTTTTAAATTGAACATCGGTTTTATGTACTGGGTATTTGGATTGAATTTGTTGTTGGTTTCATTTAGAAGCGATTATACAATATTCCAGCATTTGTAAAAAGAAAAGAATCTGTATTCTCAGTTGCACACTCATCATTTTTAAAAAGATAGTCTAATGGCTCTATAAATGGATACATGTCATATAAAGGCAAGTTCTTTTTATTTCCAGAGTATGCAAATAAAGGGTTAAATGGGAGTGTCATTATTTGACATGCATATACTGCAGTTTTGGAGTTTCTGACAAGGTTGGTAACATCATTTGCTCTGCGCCGCCATGTGCTTTCTAGATCATTGGAGCCATTTTAGCAATTAGAGCATGATTTATTCTCTGACAAATGTCTGAAATCCATTGTTAATGTCCCTTAGAGAACTTATTTCTAAATTATCAAAACTGTAAAATTATTTTAGCTATTGGCCAATTTATTACATTGCATGTTTCTGCATTACTCCATTGTGCCTTTATAAAGATTATTCTATCTATATTTTTGGCTAAACTTGTTTTTATATATTCTTGGATCACACCAAAACACTCATCTTTGTCATTATTCATTCATGCTGTTCAGCTGAGAAATGTACTTTTCTGGCATCTTCCTTCAGTGATTTTTTTTTTTTAACATATGATAAGGAATTCCAGAAAGAAAAGCCTTCCATACAGGAGACAGAACTCTTGAAAAGTTTGAAAAATGCTTTAAGTGCCTATATATATATATGTGTATATTTACACGAAGGTTATAATGATGGCAGTCCATCTGTGCAATGTGCTTTCACTGGGGATAATCAGAAGGGGAAAATTGGTATTTCTCATCTGGTTTGATGAGAGGTTTTATGTTATTCAGTGAAGTTGATATATGGCATTCCTTTCACCTAGAGACTTGTTGATAATTGGTTTATAAAACTTGTATTAATCTCTTGTATATCAAAAAAATGGATTGGGATTTAAGTGCAAAGCAAGTTAAATTGGGTTCATGGTGATTTGGGCTAAGGTAGAAGGTGCTTTCTTATTTTCACTTTCTATGAGAAGGGTCAGTGCTTTTTTAAATTAGGTGGCTAAAGGAGAATGAACAGAGTGATTTTGTCTTGAGTTTTACAGTAGATAATCTTCAGAGTTAGAGAGAAGCTATTCAGTTTAATATTTATTAAAATGCAGGAGTTGCATTTCACAGACGAATCTAAAAATAACTAAGATCTTGAAGTGTGCGTGATAGTTTCTTTGTAAATTATAATTAATACATAATAGATTCCAATTAAAAATATGCATACAGTTCAGGCAAAGATTTTTAAATTACTTTACATAGGCACATAAATACTGCTACAGTGGAGAAATTCAAAGAAAGGTGACTGAAGGATAGTTCTAAAGATGCAGTTTGGTTCTTTCTCTTTCAAACCTCTCCATTCTTAAACCAAAATTTAAACACAGGTCTCCTAAAGCTCTTATCTTCTACCACAAGAATATATTGTCTCCCTTGAGATATAAAGCCACAGAGGACAGGAATTATTATACTGAAGGGTTTGTGAGTTGATATTTATTAGTCTTTCAAAGAAGTCACATCATTATTCAGGAGAGGGATATATAAATAAATTAATTTCATGGCCACAGACCTGACCTCATTTTGAATATTTAACTTAGACTAAAAAGAAGATTTCCCATTTGTCCTAGGGTGACTTTATGATGCTTGTATCCCCAGTGGTCTGTTCTGTTTATGCTGGATATTGAGTTGTGCACTGGTTTAAGAGTGGTTCGGAGAGCGAAAGGGGCAGGAGCAGCGCGTGGTTTGTCTGCAGAGGCTGCGCTCACTCCCCTGCATTCCCCCTCCCGGCCTGTGCTGTCTGCAGGCAGAGCTCTCCTTTGTTTCTGTTAGTTTTTTTAGCCAGCTGAGGCAGAGAAGTTCCCCAGACTTTGGAACTGATCAGCCCTGCTCTGGACTGAAAACCAGAATAACACTGGGAGCTCGCCTGTAGTCCACCAGGGCCAGTAGTCCCCATCAGGGACTGATAAGAGACTGGGCAAGCTGAGCCACACCCCTCAAACAGGACTTTCTCTGAATTTGCCATCTCTTTAGAACAATGAGAGGTTCCATTGTTTATTCCTCATTTTTCCATGTTTGTGAGTACTTTACTTGTTAAAGAAACAGTTTTTTCCACTTCTCTCAAAGTAGTTTATGTTTCCTGAACCAGTAAGGGGAGGAGCCAGCTTGAATTTGCTTTCTAGAGGGACCCCATCTGGAGGTTTCCTCTCAAATTCGCTCTAAACAAGGACACCAATACATAACGAGTTTATTAATTTTAGAAAACAAATGTAATATATGCCCTAAACTATTAAGAACTTATGAGCTCTTTTCCTCCAAGACATGTATCTCCTATAAAACAATGAACAAGTATTAGTACTTTGCAAGTTAGTACTTTACTAGTTTACTTTGCTAGTTAGTACTTATCCTTTGCAAAGCTGAATGAAAACATCGGTTTGTAATAGGTCTTAAAGGTATATAAATTGAATGGACTTTTTTTTCTATATATAATTTTTTTCTACATATAATGCTCATATAACATTTTTCTTTTTCGTGGATAGATTATCTGTTTAAAAGAAAAATAAAACTCTGGCATACTCACCCAACTAATAGTAACATTTACCAAATTTGCTAAATGTGTGCATTTCAGAGCTCAAACCATGAAAATTTTGAGTGCCCTGTATTCCTATAGCACAGTAGGAGGCCGGGGAGCCCATCATCTTGTGAGATGCAAGATTAGATATTGGAATAATCTCCCACCCCCTCAATATTTACATCCCAATATTTCATCATCCTCCCAAGTCCATAGCCTTCTCCAGTATACATGGAGACAGATGGCTCATAAGATTACAAGCTACGGAGATTTGGTGCTACAGACAGGTCCCCTGGTATTCTAAGAAAATTAACAATTTATTTAAACAGCTCTGTCAGATGCAATCCTCTTTGCCTCATTTTGTCTCCTGCTGGCTCTGTCTCATGTAGGATTGCCTGCATGTAGATTCTCTGGTTACAGACTCATCATGTAGGAAAGAAAAGGAACTTAGTCATGAGCTATATGACCCGTGGGCACGCTGGACAAGCATGTGAGCATAACCAGAATAGAAGTCAAAAAATACCACACTCCTTATTGTTGTACCATCTTTATGAAAGAACTCTCTCTTTCATGGAACTGAAACAGATTCTTGCCTGTTGAGCAGCTCTAAATTAAGTCAGAGGATTATCTGTATCACAGCAGTCCCAAGCAACACCAGATTTCAGATAAGGAGGTCACCAGCCTGCCAAACCACTGCTGCTGCTGCCCACAGCTCTGTCTGTGTGGCCAACAGAGCTGCTCACTGGCTGCTGGGCAGGGGGTACCCAGCAGCAGGCACACGGTCAGCAGTGATGGTTTTGCACAGAAAATCTCACACTTCACTGATTACTGCTGCACTGAGCAGTTTGTTGAGCTGGCCAGTGGAAACGGGTAGCCAAGTTAAGGATCTGGCTCTTGTGGGAAGTGTAGCTCTGAACTGATGAGGGGCCACTTACAGGATGGAGTCATTAGCACATGTCTTGGTGTCACAGATGGGGAACAAGTTCTCCTTTTTCATTTCCTTGTCACAGTCAGGACGTGCAGGTTCATCCAGCCAGAAGGCAGTCCCTGAACTGCCGAGCCTGGTTCCCCACAGTTTCAGCAATTCTCATCTGCAACATATTTTAACATAGCTTTTCTAAGTGAACTATCATTGTACGTGCTACACAATTTGTCAACAGTGTATTTACCCTTCACTGGAAATACTGCACCTAGGACATTAGGACTGCATTTGCCTTTTTCACAAATTAATTATACAAGGGATGTATAACTATCCTGTGATCCTCCCACTCCAACACCCTGGGTTGAAATGTTCTTTGTTAAAACTATCATTTACTTTGCACTTTCTATCATTGAGATTCTCACTGTTCTTAGTTCTTCTCCTTTCTCCTGAAGGTCTTCTCAGTAACTGCTTTTCATCCTAGGAGGTCTGAAGCCATTTCTTATCAGGTTCTTTTTTCTTCACTGGGGAAACAGGGTTCAAATATTTTTTTCAACGTTGACAGGAATAAATTTAGGTGTCTGCTCAGGGCAATCTATGGCATCCATCTGCTCTCCTACTCTGGCTATGAAGACACACACTGTCTTAGGAAAACAAATAAGTCTTTGCTCTCTAATTGGCATTTCAGAAGGCAAAAGTGGTTTTTCTGCAAGTGTAACTCATATATTTTCTCATGTGGTTTTCCACACACAGTTTGAAAAGCTCATTCAAAGGAAACTTAACTTCCCTCAGCTCTCCTTTATTTCAACCCATAATATACTGAGATCTTTTCTGTTTTTCACCTGTAGCATAATAAGTTTTTATTTAGGATGAAGTAAAATTGTTAGCAATTCTATTAATTTAAGATCCACAGGCATAAACTATTTCATATTATTACTATTTTGGTAGTTGTGAAGGTATACGGCTATAATAAGTATATATAATAAATAAGCAATAAATAATAAGTATATACTATAAATAAGTAATTTATCATGGTAAATATTTCAGTTCTTGGCTGCTTTACACCATGTGCAGTCCTTTGTACTTTTACAAAGGAACTTTTAACTGGAGATGTCCACAAACTCACAGTGGCCCGCCCACTTTTCTCACCAGTCTTTATGATATCAGGTCCAAGGCTACAGAGAGTCAGACACAGAGCCTCATTTTAGGCTCACAAAAAATAGAATCCAAACAGTATGAGTCAATGCATTATTTCAATAAAGTAAATAAAATAATATCTTAAAATAAAAAAACAACGTAGATGTCATTCCAGTGCAGTAACATCCTAAACTGAACAGTATAAAAGCAAACTCAGCCCTGGAATAGCAGGTGTGGAGGAGGAGAGACAGTGTCAAGCCATTTCTTGAGCCTTTTCTGACAAAGACAAGAGGTTGTGGGAAATCTTTGGCTACAGTACCAATAGATCGTGCATCAAACATAAGCTCTCTGGACTTAATTTTCACTTAACAGGGATGTCTTCTTTCCACAGGAGAGTGCTAAAATGTGTAAGTCTTACATTCTCCTAAATACCTCTTTGAAATAAGCAGCATAGAAAAGTTTTCATGAAATCAAGGAATTTTTCCTATTTCATTTCTCTTCACTCCAAACCTAGAAAAATCATACTTCTCATGGCTCCTTATTGACTGTATAAAGATATTCTCAGTCTGACATACAAGATGTCCTGATTTCCCTTAGTCGCCCAGTGAGCCCTGGCTGTAATTTGGCAGCTCTCAGTGGTCTCTGCCATGTAATTCAGCTGTTGACTGCAACAGCCACCTTCCCATGTGAGAACATTTTCAAATACAAAAAGATGTGGATGTAATTGCTTAAACACTGAAAAATCCATAAACCAAGACCAAAAAAAGTGAAAATACAGTTACAATCACAGAATATGCCCCATTTCTCCCCTATTTGTGCCCAAGGAGGAGCATACAGGTTAACTGAGCACAACAGCTGATCTCCCTGGAGTAAAATTTGTTGAAAATACAAGTGCTCATATATAATTTTTCTAAAGACCATTGCATTGTAAGTGAGGAGAGTTCAATAGCTATCAGTGTTCAGGTGAACATTTGTTTAGTGAAAGATCACTAGAATCACATCCAGAGATGGTATGACATGAGTAGATCTCACTCATTTCCTGCAGAAGTACGTTCCAGTTGTAGGAAAATCGCCAGAATAAAACTGGTCTTTTTTTAATATTATAATAAGAAAACGTCCCAATGAAGAGAACAAAAGAACCCCCTTCCCCAAAAGTATTTTTTGTTCTCAAGACTATCCTTTCCTCAAAGCTATGTGGTGCTTTGGGCTCCAAAGCTTTAGGATAAGAATGACAGAGAGAAGGGTGAGTAATTCTTGCTCAGAAAAAGGCAAAAAGCATATGGGATAGATATGTCTGTTAATACAAGCTTGTCTGTCTCTTCTGCATAGTTTTCCCTCTCATATTGATAGTAGCAGCTAAATGTGAGTGATTAGCATTACAATCTCTGAAGCACCTGCATACAGCTGAAGATTTTCTAGCCTACCTACAGGATTAGCAGGCCTAGTGCTGAAGTTAATGGAATTGGGTATTAAAATCAGAGAGGGAGTTTTGAAAATCACAAGAAGTGTGATCAGCACTTACCCGGGCTGCTTTTAAATTAGGCAAGAGTTTCTTAGAGGATAGTGAGCGTATTACTCTCCTGAAAATCCTGCTTACCCATCACATATTGGATCCCATTCAGTAGTAGCCTGCTTGGGTCAGTTTATTTTTAATTCTTAGTACAACTGTCACTAATAAACTTTAATTTCTAGTGCTTTCATTTTTCTGAGGGGAAGAATCAAAGCACATCTTTTATACACAGCCAGAATGTACAGCTTTGAGTTGCTCAATTGCACTAATGTTTTTTCATGAATGTATAGCAAGTGGTTGGATGAGAATAAAATACAAGAAGTGTGGATATTTTGGTTCAAGTTTGTAGGTAGTGAAGAGAATAAGTGGGAAGCGTAATTCTGACATGGAGAGGTGGAATTCCACTGAGATTGTTAATGACTGCAAAGCTTGGAGAAATCTAATTAGTGTCCTGGAATAGAAGGTCAGATAAGGTCAAATATAAATAGTGTGTAAAAAAAAAAAAGATATCATGCACACTTAGAACTCAGTGTGTCTGGGACCAATCAGGTGGGATACTCAGAATCTGTTCACAGATATTTTGACTTTTCTGAAGTCTAAAATTCGTGGACTTAAATTTAAAATTATTAGTGTCCCAGAAATGCAAATCTAAAGCAGGGCTGTTTCCAGCAAGTCTGGAACCCCCTTACACTATTCCTTAGATAGGTCTTCCACTTCAAAATGGTCATCTTCCCCACTATCTTTTGATCAAAGAATTTTGGCATCCTCCCTTACTGATAAATGAGGGGGCAAACGTGTGTCAGTCAGGAATTTCACTTTTATGGAGAGGTTTAGGGGGATATTGGGCAGAGGTTTCACATTAATACCTGTCATAAACCAAGGGTAAGGTTGAAGAAAAGACGTGTTCAGTTTCCCCCAAGGCTCACACTGTCACCAACAGTGGCTGACCCACAACAATGGAAGCAGGATGAGCAGTGGGAATTCCACACTTCAAACTCCTCCCGCAGGATTTGGTAACTGAGTCTGTGCTGTGGGAACACATTGGCAGCAGCAGTCTTTGTGGATGTTACCACACCTTATGTGAACTGATGGAATGCACGGCTGCAATCTTGCATGTGTAAGAGCCTGTGGGCTGGCTGTCCTTTCCCTCTCCTGCCAATCTGGTTTCTGTGTAAGAAGTGGGTGGGGATCACTAAAGATGGCTTGGCACAAGAGGGCATAGGAACTTCCTGACTCCAGCAGCAAATGAAGTCACTTACATGAACTTCTTTGTGGAAGCTGTTAGGTACATATCCATTGCTACGTTTAGTTCTTCCACTTGTGCTTCTCAACATTAGTCTTAAAAATAAGAAGTGTATTATTGAGAACAAGATGCTGGAAATTGCAGTAGTTTATGCCAGTATTAGTACACTAGTGATGTTGTACTGCAGAAAGTATGTAAAAAAACATTTAAGGAAGTGACAGACTTTGATATTAAGTAATTCATCTTCTTCCCTTGGAGCCATAGAGAATTGACACATTCATTTCAGACATTTTAATAAAAGCATTAGTGAAACTGGTTTCTCAGCAAACCAAGTTGCTGTAATCTCTACTTTTCTATTAAATATACTGTATTTCTTCACTTTACCATCTTTATACAGAGAAATATATTGTAGTATAATAATTACCACAACAAATACCTTTGAACACTGTGGCGTTTAGGAGCTAGAACTAAACAAACCCCAAGAATTTAACTACCTACCTATCTGTCAGTTACTTTGCCCCTGAGCAGTAGGGGTGCAGATCTGTGATGTTGTTTAATAATGCTCCTAGAATCTCCTGTGAGCACCAGTTTTGCTTCTGGAGTCCCCCAGCTCTGTGACAGTCTTCACCTCACATCCCACGGGACTTGATATATATTTGCATTTTATCCTCTGTAAGGAGATAAACCTGCAGGAGTTCTAACAAAAATGTTCAGAAGTGTGGAGCGGGATTGTGAGCACTGATAAATTCATGGTCCAAAGGGCACTGTCCCCAAACCTGGGGGGACCCATGACCATGCTGCTCAAGAGATTGTTACCCATTTGAGCAAGAAGTATTATGACAGTGAGCAGAGCAAGAGAATAAGAGGATGGAGAGCATATTCCAGTGTAATTATAATAATTTATAACTCAGGGTTGTTCTCCTGTTAAAATCTCAAAAGCAGAATATTTTTACTTTCTTATAAATTATTCACAGTCATTTGCTTTGCTTCGTGACAAGTAACTTCTTTTCTTCAGACAGGATTTTCAACCTGAAAGAATGAAAGTGTTGACCCAGTTATGCCTAACAAACAAAACGTGAAAAGAACTAAAATTAGAAATGGATAAAATAATCTTAGTAGGAGCAAGAAATAAAGCGCTTTTTCCCTTCCTGTTCCATCTGAATTTAAAATTGGTAAAATTATTTTACTAAAAGAAAAAAAATAAATGGAAAATAGACTTCCTAATGAAACTGCTCAGAGAAGGATGAGGTAACATTTATGGAAATGTCGTATATTATTTAAA